CGCCCGCGAAAAGCCGGCGGAGTACGCGGTCGATTTGTTGGTCAATCTTCGGTTCTTGCTGGCAACCTTGCTTGCGCGCGCTCAGGCGCAGCGCTTGAATCTATGCGGTCGCGCAAGGCCTCGTGCGCGCGCGCGCGCTCGGCGACTCGGCGACTGCGCGTGACTCAGCCCAACTGGCCAACAAGTTGCAGAGCCCAGTGGCGGAGAGAGCGAACGGCGTCGTCTGGGGTAGTGCGAGGGCGCCCCTGATGACGACCAGGCCCCCGGCCACCCGCCGCGTTTATTCCGAGCAGTTTTTCTTCCTCCGTCGCGACGCGCGGCAGAGAGGCGCAGACGAGTCGCCTTGGAAGAAGAGGTTCGGTGAACCTTTCGCCCCCCCCCGCCCACTCGTGTCGGCGACGCGGCGCGCGCCGCCGCCCGCGTCGCAGATTAAGCAGCCCGAGACTGGCCCTCGCGCGAGGATGTGGCTTCAGTTGGGCCGTGTTCCTTGCGCGGGAGGGCAGGTTGGACCCGGGCGCCACTGCGTGTCCTTGAAGCAACTTGTCGGGCTCAATTTCAAGTTTGGCGCGGGGTCGGTGGTCGAGCGCTCGGAGCAACTCTGGACTGGCGTCGGCGTCGAGAATGGCGCGCCAGAAGATCTGCTGGGCGCGCAGGACAACGAGCCCCCAGGAGTGACATGTTTCCCCCCCGTGCGGCGGGTGCGACTCGGCATTGATCGCTGCGCCTTTCGTCAACCTGGGTGAGTTGCTCTCGGGTGGCTGCGTCCCTGGAAGCCAGCGCCCTCCTTGCGGGGCCGGCGGCGCGTCGCTCGCGGGGGGGGGGGGGGGGTCGGCGCTGTCGAGCGGAAAGTCCGGCGTGGAGGCGCGTGCCATGGGGCGGCCGCTTCCCGCCCGCGATGAGGGGGCGGTAGCGGGGGCGGCAGGGGGGGTGGACGAGGGCCCCTCTGGCGACGAGGGCTCCTCGGGCCTGCCTCTTGCCCCCCCGCCGTCCGCGGGTGCCGGGCGCCGAGCCGTCAGACGCAGTCGCGCCGAGGGTGGTCAATTTGCTGAGAGGGGGGTCACCATCGCGCAACAGACAATGCTCGGCCACCTCTGACAGGGGGCCCGAGATTCGAACGGAGATTGTCACGTGACCGCATGCCCCGGATAATTATTCGCGCGCCCCTGAGCCCCCGAGAGTTGATTAACCCGGCAAGACAGAGCTGGTCGGGCTAGAGGGGCGGCGAGGCTGAACTTTATTTTCGCGGAGGAAAGTTGCGAAACGAAATTGCCATTTTCTTATGTCGAGCAGCCGCGTCAGGGTCTTCGCCATTTCAGCTTTCGCAAGTCGCGAGCGTGCGCGAGGGCTGATCATGGGGCCCTCACCATGCCATCTTCGATGGGGCGCTCGTGGCAGCCCAGGCGCGCGCGAACTGCTTGCCGCTCGTGGGCGGCTCCACGGGGTGCCGAGGCTGCGCGGGCGAGTTCAGTTATTCGAGATTGTTCGCGAGAGGTGATTCCCGGCGAGAGGCGCCGAGGATCTCGAGGGCGCGGCCAAGGGTTTCTATGACAAGGGCCAAGGATTTCAGAGCAAGAGGAACACATCCTCGTCGTCGTCGTCGACTTGCGGGGGCAAGTCGATTATTGTCCCCCCTGGGCCCCGAACTTTATCCCCCAGTTTTTTTTTTTTTTTTTTTTTTTTTTGTTATCAGGGGTAGTTGGTTACCGCAGAGAATCTGCAGACGGGGGAATGCTGCCAGTTGCCGCGGGGGAGATTCGGCAGGGGCTGCGCCAGCCGCTGCCTCTGATCGGCAGGGCGAAGATAACTCAGATCCGAATCGTCGCTGAGACTTGCGACCCTGTGCGTGGAGCGGCCCAGACTCGACGAACCTGGGCGTCCATCCAGATCGGCGGTGGAAGACGAAGGGGCGGCCTGCCATGCGCAAACTTATCAAGGATTTCACGGCGGGGAACGAGGGGTTCTGCGGACTTGGAGACCCGGGTCCGAATGCTGACCCTTTCGAGGGGACTGGCATTGAGATCCCTTCGCCGCCAGTCCGATGCGTCATGTCTACGGTTGCGGTGCGTCCCTTTTGGGCTGCGCGATGGGTGAGTGCATCGCCGGCGGCGCTAGCGAGAAGGAAATTTGCGCCTGGGGCGCAGAAAGGGGGAGGATGCGAGCATTCTCCGACATCGAGAACAGTATCCTGGTCTGCGACCACGCCCTCGGCTTCCAGAAGCACTTGCCGACTTGCCGGGCCCCCTGGCACGTCGGAGAGCGACTTGGGACACAACCCCCGAAGAATGGGTCGGCAAATCGGGGGGCGCACGTTATGGAACGACCACGAAGCTGAGATATGGCCCCTCGTCGACGTCGTCTTCGTAGTCGTCGTCGTCGCCGCCGCCGCCGCCGCCACCGCCGTCGTCGTCGTCGTCGTCGTCGCCGTTGCTGTCGCCGCCGTCGTCGTCGTCGGCCGTTGTCGTCATCGTCGTCATCGGCATCGTCGTCGTCGTCGTCGTCCATTTTTTCTCTTCTCCTCAATCCCTCCTCCTCACCGTCATATATACATATATGTATATATGTATTTATGTATTTATGTGTATAGGTATATGTATATGTATATGTATATGTATATTTATATGTATATGTATATGTATGTATGTATATATATATATATATTACATTTATAACCAAAAAGATGGTGTTCCAACGTAGGCTAGCGCCTGCCGCTGCGAAGTCCTCTTTCTGCCCCTCCCCCTCCCCCATCTCTCCCCCCGTTCCCCTCCTCCTCTTCCTATTTTTTCTCCTCCTGATTTTGCCCTCGTCTTCCGACGCGGGCCCCCGGCAGCTGAGCGGCCCCCGGGCCCCCCCCGAAAACAGCATTAAGAAGTAGGGCTGCCATGGGCACGTCTGTTCCGATTGGGAGCCTTGAGACGGACGTCCATTCAAACAGGGGTCATTCAGGGCGCCAGATCGTGCAGCATCCTGCACAGCCAGGGTTGTATTGACCCGGGCTATCTTTGCAGGACTCTTCAGGATCTTGCAAAGCCCGACGGACCCGGAGTTGCATTGACTTGGGTCAGTGCGTCCCCGATCCGAGTTGCCGAATGTTCGTGCTCGTCATCGTCCCTGCCCGATCGCCGTGAAGAGCTCGGGGGCCCCCAGACCGTGCGGTGACCTGCCTCGGGGTGCCTTCGAGCGACTGTCCTCCGCCGAGGGCGCTCGGGGGGTGCCCGGATCGTTCCGAACGGCAGCCCGAGAGCGCGTTATGGCCCGAAAACATTCAGGAGGGAAAGAAACACACAGACACAATTAATCGTCGATCCCCAGGAAAATTTGGAAAATATGGGAAGTGGGGGGGAAGACAAAATCCCAGAAAATATATGAAAATATGGAGAATGTTTTAATTTGTGTGTATTTATTTGTGTGTTCTGGGGCCCCTTTAAACAAAGGCGGCCCCAGACGGTGTGGTGACCACACAGTGTGGCGAGTGGGTAGCGGCGCGGTCTTGGGCTTCGGGTCGTTCTCCGAGAAGAGGTGTCCACTTCTGGCAGCAGGCTGCGAGTTGTCTGGGCGTCCCCGAGCCGTGGGCGTCCCCCAGTGTCACAGCGCTGATGTTCAGCGCCGCAGCACTGTCGAACGGAAGCCTGCTCGTGGACCTGGAGGGGTCGGTCCGTGGTCCTCCCCGACCGCCCACACCCTCGACGCCGTGCTTATTGCGAAGGCCTTACGACGACGACGACGACGACGACGACGACGACGACGACGACGACGACGACGACGACGACGACGACGACGACGACGACGACGACGTCGGTCTGTGGTCCTCCCCGACCGCCCCACACCCTCGACGCCGTGCGTTATCTTCGCAACCCCTGGAGCCCCGGAGGTCTCGGCCCGCTCCTGGGGGCCCGCTCTCCACCCCGGGTGCCCCAGACTTCGTAACAAATGGGAGGGGGTCCTCCTCCTCCTCCTCCTCCTCGCCCTCGTCCTTATCCTCATCGTCCTCCTTTTCCGTTTTATCCTCTTCCTCGTCGTCGCGGTCGTCGCCGTCGTCGTCGTAGACCTCCACCTCCTCCTCCTCCTCCTCCTCCTCCTCCTTTTGCTCCTCATCCTTCTCGGCAAGCCCGGCCAGCTTGCGAGGGCTCGAGTGGCGGATCGACTACAGAATACGTTTACCCCAGATTTCGTAGTAAAAGGGAGGGGGTCTGGACCCTCCAAGACAAGCCATTTCAGACCTCCCCCGTGGGAGAACCCTCCAAAACAGCGTCCCCAGGCCCCCCAGGCCCTCCAAGATAGCCTGGAAGAGACCCCCCCCGAAATGAGACCCCCCTTTATTACGAAATCTGGAGTAATTTTCTGACGGTCCTGGGACCCGGCAAGGGCCTTCCGGAGGCCGAAGAGGACCCAAAACGACGTGCCGCCGCGACTCTTTCTACTAGTCGAGGGGGTTTGTCCTCCCCCCCCCTCCACTCCCCCCTCCAGTCGGCGACTACAAAGGGTGTGGTTACGCGGGTGTGTGGTTTGCGGTCGGCGCCGTTGGGGCCTGGGGGATTCACCGCATTGCGCCAAAAGTTTGGTGAGCCCTCGTCGAGGCGCGGCAGAGATCACTGCCGATGTCCTCGCCGGGGGAGGCGCTGGTTGCAAACCACACCCTTTGCAAGCCACACCCGTCGGAGTCACCAACCCTCCCCGCCGCGCCTCACGCATTACCACTCTCGCTCCTCCTCCTTCCTCCCTCCCTCCTCCCTCCTTCCTCCCTCCTCCTCCTGCAGGCCATGGGGCGACGAGATCTGCGCACATCCACCGCCGCTGGCAGGGCCCAGCAGGCGGTGGATCTGTGTAGATCTCGCCGCCCTAGACCACATCCCTTCGAGTCGCCGATCCAGCACCAGGAGGAGGAGGAGGAGGAGGAGGAGGAGGAGGAGGAGGAGGAGGAGGAGGAGGAGGAGGTGGAGTAGGAGGAGGGGGAGGGGGAGGGGGAGGGGGAGAGCACCCCCCCCTTCCCCGTCGCGGCCGAGGCCTCGTCGCCAGCGGTGGCTCGGGCGGCCGCGGAGACCGCGACCGCGGGGGGCACTGAGCCCGTCGGTGCGAGGCGGCAGCGGAGGCGCCGAGGGTTATCGTCGCCGCCGTCGTCGTCGTCCTCGTCGTCGTCGTGGTCGTGGCCGTCGTCGTCGTCCCCGCCGCCGTCGTCGTCGTCGTTTCCGTCGTCGTGGCCCGGGTTGTCGCCATCGCCGTCGCCGTCGGTCGTCTTGGGTCGTCGTCGTCGGTCGCTGTCGGTCATCTTGGGTGGTCGTTGTGGTGGTTGTCGCGGTGGTCGTCGTGGTGGCTGTCGTTATCGTGGTCGTGGTCGCCGACGTCGTCGTAGATGCCGATGCCCAGAAAGAGATCGTCACCGACTCTCAGCGTCGGCATCAGCGTCTTCGACATTGTCGTTCTCGTCGGCGCCTTCGCCGCTGTCGTGCTGGTCGTCGTGGTGCTCATGTTGCTCCTACTCATCCTCCTTAACATCATTGTGTTTCTACCCATCCTGTTCATCCTCTCCCTTTTTTCGGGGGCGGAAAAGAGGGGGGTGATGACTAGGGGGGGGTGGATATCATGGCGGGGGCCATGATATTTCCCCAGATTTCATGGCGCCTCTTCTTATGTCATTACGTCCCTGGCCCCCCCGCTGGGCCGCGCACATGCCGCCGGTCATGATTTGCACCCCCCCCTTTTGGACACCCCCCTCTTGGCCGCCCCCGATTTTTCTCGCCCTCCACTGGTGGAGCCAGTGGGGCGGTCGGCGCCGCCTGTATCGGCGGGGTACGAATGGAGCCCGGGCCCAGGCCGCAGTGCCGTCGGAGAGGCGGGTGGGGCGCGCCTCCCCGTGGGGGCGCGATCGGGGGCTGTCGACCTGGGCTCCCCCCGTTGCTGGCCCCCCCCCCCCTCCTCCTCCTCCTCCTCCTCCTCCTCCTCCTCCTCCTCCTCCTCCTCCTCCTCCTCCTCCTCCTCCTCCTCCTCCTCCTCTCCTCCTCCTCCTCCTCCTCCTCCTCCTCCTCCTCCTCCTCCTCCTCCTCCTCCTCCTCCTCCTCCTCCTCCTCCTCCTCCTCCTCCTCCAGCTCGGGGTCCCCGGGCCCCATCCATCGCTCGCCGCCCACTCGCCCGCGCAGCCGTGCGGCGCGAGGCGCCGTGTGGCGGCGCTCGGCGTGGGCGCGTTGCGCCGTGCCGCCGCGCGGAACGACGCGTCGCTGTGCGAGTCGCGCGGGCGCGCTGCGCCACGCGACAAGGGGCCTCGGGGGGCGCGTGGGCACTTGCGGGCCCCACCCCCAAGGCAGCAGTGAAAGTGGTATGGGGTCGTGGGGCCCGACCCCGTGCGCACCCCAGTCAGAAAGAGGAGAAGAACGAGGAGGAGGAGGAGGAGGAGGAGGAGGAGGAGGAGGAGGAGGAGGAGGAGGAGGAGGAGGAGGAATGTCCTGGATTGACCTGTGCGCCACAGTCGATTTGGCCTAGGAGGATGATGAAGACGAGGAGAGGGGAGAGGAGAACCAGGAGCAGGAGCGGGATAAAGGGAGTGGGTCCAGGCGGGAGGAGGAGGAGGAGGAGGAGGGGGAGTAGGAGAGGAGGCTTGCTCGAGGGGGGAAAGAGAGAGAGGTGGAGGGAGAGAGAGAGAGAGAGAAATATGACTATAAAGAGAAACACACAACTACATATCAAGATAATCAGAAAGATATATAGAGAAAGCGAGAGAAAGAGAGAGGGGGATAGAGAGAGAGAGAGAGAGAGAGAGAAAAAAAAGAGACGAACACAGAGAAACAGAGAACCACACATCATATAAAGAGCCAGAGAAAGAGAGAGAGAGAGAGAGAGAGCCAGAGAGAGCCAGGTATAGAGCAGAGAGGAGGGTGGATAAGGGGGGGGATGAGGAGGGCGAGGATGATGATGAGGACGAGGATAATCATCAAAACAAGTCGGCCGGCTAGATTGATGCACGGTTTCCACGGCCCCTGCTTGGGCCCATCCTGGCCAGGGTCTGCGGATGCGAATGTGCAGATCTCGTCGCCTCATCCAGGCATTCGACGTCATGGTGCCGCCCATACGAGTTCCAGGAAGGCCCGACCTTTCTCCTTAGGACCGGTGTTCCCACCCGAGTCGTTGCTGTTGCTTCTCTAGTGCCCGACTGGGGGCCCCGGCGACCTCTGCCCTGGAGGAAGCGAAGGAGCAACGACGCTGCGACATCGGGGGGGCCCTGCCCGTCCTTCCCCTGGCCGCGCTTCCCTGCGCCCGACGTGGGTCCCACGCGGGGGTCGGCGCGGGCTCGGCCCGGCTCCGACGCGGGCCCGACGCGCGAGCCGTGGCTCCAAGGGAGGGTCCGACGCGGACGGCGGCCCTCTGGGCATCGCTCGGGCGTGTGCATTTTTTTAATCGGCAGGGGCCCTCGAGGAGCATGTCTGTTCACTAGGGGGCCACATGCGAACCCTACCCCTACCCCCCACGATTTCTGAGGGCGAGGGTGGGGTTCACCTCGTTGAGGAGCTCCCGACGAGGTGAACCCCACCCTCGCCCTCAGAAATCGTGGGGGGTAGGGGTAGGGTTCGCATGTGGCCCCCTATTCACGCTGCGAAAAGATACCCGCACGAAGCCGACAAGTGCACACGGAGTACTCCAGATTTCGTAATAAAGGGGGGGGTCTCATTTCGGGGGGGGTCTCTTCCAGGCTATCTTGGAGGGCCTGGGGTGGTCTGGGGACGATGTTTTGGAGGGTTGTCCCACGAGGGGGGGTCTGAAATGGCTTGTCTTGGAGGGTCCAGACCCCCTCCCTTCTATTACGAAATCTGGAGTACCCGCACGAAGCCGACAAGTGCACAGGGAGTAGACGTCCGAGCGGTGGCGAGGGGCGCGCCCCGGGGGCGAGGACGGCGGCCCCCCCGGGGGTGCCGCCGGGCGGGGGCGGCGGCCCCATCCCCCCCGCGCGCGCCAGCCGTGGGTCGTGGGCGGTGGCTGCACGCGGAGGACGCCTCGTTGCCGGCGAGGAGCCGCAACAAGGCCGGGGGCCCTCCGCCCGCGGGCGGCGCACGCCGGCGACACTCCATCAGAGCCCCGAATCATCAGGGGTAACTCGGGTCAGGGCTAACTCGGGTTCGCTTGTCGGGAATCCGAGCCCGAGTTATCCCGGACCCGAGTTACCCCGGACAACTCGGGCGTCCAGAGCCCCGAATCATCAGGGGTAACTCGGGTCAGGGCTAACTCGGGTTCCTTTTTCGGGAATCCAAACCCGAGTTACCCCGGACCCGAATTACCCCAGACAACTCGGGCGCCCAACTTTAATGGGCGAAGAACGGTATAAAATAAACTTTTTCGCCGTCGGGGGCGCCTGTCCCTGGGCGGCTGGAGAGTTTATACCCCTACGGTGGCCCCGTAGGGGTAGAAACTTTCCAGCCGCCCAGGGACAGGCGCCCCCGACGGCGAAAAAGTTTATTTTATACCGTTCTTCGCCCGTTAATTCCTGGATGCAAGTTTGGCGTGTCCCTCTGCAGGAGAGTAATGCAAACATGGTGAAACATCGTCTACGGGGGACGATGTTTCCCGTATTGTTGGGCATGTCTTGGACATTTTTTTGGGGGGGGCTATTTTTCATGTTTCGTCCAAAACCCCCCTGTAGGGGGACAGGCCCGACCTAATCCTAGATGGGGTCGGATGAGACGGGGTTGCGGCTCGATGTGGAGCCCGATTTCTTCCACGCTGGCGTCGCCAATGCATCGCCGATGTCGCCGACGCATCGGCGATGCATCGGCGATGCATCAGCGATGGGGCGCGATCCTCCGATCCCATCTACTCGGATCCCATCAAGGAGGCCTCTATACACGTACAGTCGGACCGAGGCAGAAGATCGAGGTCGGTTCGGGGAGGGTGTCCTGATGTTCCTCGTGTCTGTTGGAGATGTCCTGGTGCATCCTGGGGAGGGTACCCCTGGACGTTTTGAACGTCTTAGCCAGCCGGGGGTCTCATGTTCTTGGAGGATGTTCATCTGGCCTAGGTCCGACTGTAACAGTGACCCTTCGCCAGAGTGACGTTTGGTCCTTTGGTGCGGGCCCACTGGGGTCCGCAGATCGCCGAACGCGATGCGGTAACAGCGTCTTGCGCGCTTGTGCTTGGTCCCCTCGCGTCGACCGGCGGCGGCCCCCAGAGTCGGTCGGTACTGAACGATCTGGCGTTTCGGAAACGGGCGCTCGTTCACGGCTGAGTGCGATCCCCGCGGTGTCATGGACCAACGCCAGAGTCGGCAAGGCAGGAGCCCGCCGTAACGATAGTGACGGCTGCTCTCGAGGCAGGAAGCACGGCGTTAGCATAAACTGTCGGAGATCCGTGTGGATGTCTTGGATCGGCGTTGGGCCCCCCCTGGCGGTGCCTCTGGCGCCGCCCCTGGCGCGCTCCGCGCGCCGCTCCGCCCTCTGTCCGCGGACGACCCGTGTGCGCCGTACCGCGGCGGCATCTCCCGAGGCGTTGTCGAGCCTCGGCTCAGGAGAGGTACTGTTCAGGAGGGGAAAAAACACAGACACAATTAATCGCCCACTCCCCAGAAAGTATGCGAAAATATGGGAAGTGGGGGGGAAGACACCAACCCAGAAAGTATGGGAAACTATGGGGGATCCTTTTATCTGTGTCTATTTAGTTGTGTGTCCTAGGGCCCCTTCAACTGTGCATAATTGTTTGGCATTCCAATTTCGATCCCTTCTCGCTAATGCCCCGGGTTGGCTTCCATCCGCTGCGCTTCGTCGCTGGCGTTCCGGGGAAGGCAGAAGCGTCCCGAAGGCCCGCCTGCGGCCCGAGCTACGGGCCGAAAGCTCATGCGAGGGCATGAGGCGGGGGTCAGCGCCGCCCTTGCGGTAGCAATTTCGGTTCGGTCGATTCGATTTTGAGGATTCGGGTTTCGGTTCAGGACGGGGGTCAGCGCTACCCTCGCAGCAGCAACTTCGGTGAGGCCGATTCGACTTTGAGGATCTGGGTTTCGGCTCGGTTTGGTGCAGGATTCTGGCACCGATCTGAACATCCTTGTTCGTAGACGCGGTCATGGGTCACCTCACACCAGGCTATCCCGAA